CCGTAAGTGGGTGTGGTTTATATCAATACATTATTTTAAGTCTGAAATTGATATGGATTGATCAGAAGTTGCTACACGTATTGTTTTTTGTGAACTATTTACAGAGCAGCCTCAGAATTTAGATGAAATATTTTTAATCACAATAGTAAAGGAACTATTACAGAACAAGTTTTTCAATAAAATCAGAACATTAATATTTAAGTGCATAAATTAATACATCTGAACTCATGCAGCAGGAACTAGGAAATACGAAATACTAGAACCAAACACAACTTTTTTTATTTTAATTTGATTGAACTGGTTTTTTTCTTAACGTTCTTGTCATTTTTCCCACACACTGTTAAAAGAATGCAATGTTGTGTGTGTGTGTGTGGGGGGGGGGAGTTTAAAAAAAAACAAGCAGAGCGGATGCAGCGACCAACGCAGCACAAGCCATTTTCAGCTCTTTCTTGTCAAATGCACCACGTACGTTACGAAGAAAGTGACTTTAAATATTAAACCAAGCTGAAGAAAGCCTAGGGAGTACTGAAGAAGCATGAGCAACAGTGAAGCAAGCACAGAGAGATCCGTTACTGTCAGTGTGTGCGCGTGGATGCATGGGCTAGACAGACTGAGCTCCTGGCTGCAGAGTTTTCTGTGTAGGGAGGGGCGGGCGCTCTATGTGACTGGCCAATCACAGAGCGTGAAGACAGTTAGTTACCCAATGAGGATTTTCCTTCAGCACGATTACAGACATTTACGAGTTTTACTTGTTTCATGCTCGTATTCATCAAAAATGCTTTATCCGGCTCATCCCTTGTAAAAACTATACATTGTCACTTAAAAACAAAGTTTTGCTTTTGGATCTACTAAACGGACACTAGGGGGTGCTAAACGCAAGCCAAAACTGTCTAGCCTCCCTTTAAAATTCGAAAGAGGTCATTAAAAGGGTATAAATTAAACTCATTGATACTTTTCACATCTTTAACCTATATATAAAAACTATCACTGATGTTTATGTTAGAAATAATCATCTGATGATTGTTTGTTTAAATCAGTTTTACCAATAATGTCTTTGATCTTGACAATATCAAACAGCAAAAACAAAGGAGTTGTCATCAGTTCTTTGTTGAGGCTGATGATTATAACAATCATTAGCTGTGATTGTTGCTGTTCTGATGGTCATGACCTGCAGGTTGTGTATTAGGTGTCAATGGATGTTTGAAAAGACTACATCATGAGGACAGCTCAGTTATCATCAATGACAGTGTTCCCTGTAAGGAGCAGCTGATTGCCGGTTAACCGGAAACCAACTAAAATAACTATTTTACTTGGTTACAACATTAATGGAAATTAACCGGTTAACTATGTACATCCCTAACTGCAGCCAGCCTCTATTGGGTTCTTTAAATGTTTGCATAATGTTCCTGTGCAGGGTTTCCCCCAGTGCTTTACAAGCCTGGCGGCCTGCCAGGCTTTGCTTGGCCACCCGCCAGGCTAAGCGTCATGCCCCTCCCCCCTCCCCGACCCTACCGTGTCCGCTGACAAGAATGGCGCAACGAAACTAGAGCCCTCCATCAGCTGATACAGGTGAGAAACAGCAACGGAACGTGTGCCACCCCCCACCCCCGCTCTCACAGTTGTTACCTGACTGTGAAGCAGGATGCTTAATATGTTGTGTATTTTCAAAATATCTGCGCAAATTAAGAAAAAAAAACTTCCAGCTGCAATCCAAACTTTGCTCCAGTGAGAAGTTAATATTTGTAAGGAAAGGTAAACGTGTTCCCTTTTCTACAGTGAACAATCTCTGATAATGGTCTTAATTTGGTTTGTGGCAGGGTGGGCTTACTTGTTTAAAAAGTGCGCTGTATGAGTGGAGACCTCTTCAATACCTTTCCTCTTGAAAACACAGCAAGTTATGCTCAGGCACTCCCACTTAAAACATGGATTTGTGTTGTCCTCTGTTCCTCACTCACACACATACCCTCATTAAAAGCATTGTGGCGGCCCTCTTGTTCTCACCCGTTCGCTTTTCCGTAACCTTTTTCTGCACTCAGACTCGACGAAACAGATGAACACACCCATGGCTCTCCACTCTATTCATGCACAGCTGTAATTGGGCATGAATGTGTTGGGAAGAGAAGACCTCGGGGTCAGTGTAGCCACCTGCCTGTGTGTTAATGGGCTTTGCTGCCTCACTCACCAACTCTTTTATAGGTTAGTTTATGACAGATGTAGGTGCTGTATTTAAATCACACTTACTAAAGTTGGGTGATTGGACGAATTTATTGACCATCAACGATAGGAAGAGCCTTTCACAATCATTTATTTAAGAGCGATAGTTTTTCTAATCCTATGCATTGGTCTCGCAGATGGGACATTATGTAAACTGAAACTCTTTTTTTTCTGGCATATTATACATATTCATACATCACTGGAAAGCTAGGTATTTTGTGATTCCAATGATGTATACCAATCAAGAATACAACCGTAATTGTACACAATAAACACAAATAAATTAAAAAATTCTAAGTAAACACAATAAAAACATTTGTCAGACCAATAGAAAAGTCAAAAAGATGTCTAAGGCCCAGTTAACATTGTGCAAAAAACGATGAATGTGAACGTGATTTGCAGGTCTGTAGCTGTCCAGTGTGACCTGCTCACTAATAGCTTATTGAGCACCCTCGTGACCAAATCTACTGTCCAACAGCCTTCAAGTTTTGTCAGAAAATTTGGAATCAACCAGTACAAATACACCTACAGATTAACGTGATAAAACTACTGATGAGTGTAAAATGCAAAAATGGCTGAATCGGCAATAGCAACAATGGAGAGTACACACAACATGTTGAGCACTCGTTTTTGGAGTTTGGTTTGAGGTCTAATTAAAGAAATGTTATCCCTAGTGCTCTTTTCCCTTTCAACATCGCCATTTTGGGTATCTGTCGTCTTTTAGTGAGACGTCATACAGTTTGACACTCTAAAATCTTGGGCCATGTAGTTTGCTACCTCTCTGGAGCTCGCACTGTGTGAATCGGGCTTAACTCATTAGTCGAAACCTCATAATAGCCAGCATAGATCAATCTTGACCATAAACAGTCTTTTTACTTCCACAAGGGCCCAATAAAAGTACTCCAATAGAGTAGTTCGTCCACAACAAGTTCTGTGTTCACACTCCCAACATAATATACCGCTGAAAACCTTCAAGATTTATTTAGATGCTTCTCTTTCCCACCATAACTTCTGGTAGCATCTTCAAATTAGCTTCAAACTTTTGATCAACATCATTACCTGATCTAATAGGGTTACTTACCCAACATCTACAACTATTGGCCAATTGGTTAGAAGTGCTTTTAGTCTCACATGTGTAGCTCAAACCAATTGCGATGCCGTATATTGCTGATTGTCGCATTAAATAGCCAATGAAATTCAGAAAAGGACCATCTCTCACATGAGGACTCCCCAGTGGTCTACTTCCGTAAACTAATTGGAAACCATTGTGACTGCTGTATTGCTGCGTGTCAGGCCTACAAAAAATCTAAACATCACCAGCTAGAATGTTATAGGTTGTAAAATGTGTACACATTGCCCAACCTTAAGGTATCTTGACTTTCTTCTTCATAGTTTAGTTGGATGCTTAAGTCTTTAAGTTTGTGAGAATACCAACAAATAGTAATTTATATGGAACTTTCAATGTTAACATGTTAGTGTTGTGTGCATTTTAACACATTGCTACTCAGCCTTTAGTTAAAAAGTGTAAAACAATGGTGGGCAAAGCTAATGAGAAATTAAACAAAGAAAAGTTGTGCTGGGGAATAAAAGGTGGAAGGATGAGAAGCGCTGGAGGAAAGGATTAAACAGCAGATGATGCAGCAGTTTAATGGGGAATCTGCTTTGAGTTGTATTCCAGTAGGTTAATTCATTCCCTCGAGATGCTTTTTTTTTTGTTGCCGTGAGACAGATATTGAAGTGTTGAACTGGAGCAAATACATCCGTTTTTTACACACACACGTTTGTGTTTTGGGGCGTATTTTTTTCGAGAATCTGTGTAAACAGCAACTGTATCCAGGATTTTGTGTTTCTAAATACTGATTAAGAGCTTTGATTTTCTGCCTTCCCTAATGCAAAGTTCCCTTCAGTGCTGTTTGGCATCAACGAGTTTATGTTTAGGAGTTATAATTAAAGCTACAGTTATGAGAAGGGTTTATGTTTGTTGTTACCTGACTGTGAAGAACAAGTTCAGGGTAGATTGGCTCGGATTTCATTTGAAGCTCAGACGTGCAAGAAGCACAATTGGGCAGATTAATGTTGGTTGTAAATTAAGTGAATGTGTGGCGTTAAATGGATTCACAAAAAATACTTTTGTATTTATCACACAACAGAGCCACATTCACACCACGCCTCATTGCTGAGAAACAATTAATCTAAACTTTTTCTGCTCTGTATTTTTTATTTTTCCTCAATGGTCTGCTATTTTTGCAATACACCTGTGGTTCTGGTACCCGTCCGTCCTGGATCGTGCTTCTTTGTGGCTTCCTGCAGAACCTTGGTGTGCCGTATTTTGTTTGGTTGTTTTGCTTGCCGTCACTTGCCTGCTCACTGGGTTTGTTGTGCTCTTTTATTGGCTGGATCATTATTTGCATTGCCCTTTATACTTAATGATAAATGCAGCACAACACATTCATACTTGTATCTCATTATCACTCAAATACACTCATTTTACCAAACAGCAGCTGAGAAAAACACATGCATACATAAACACTGCTAGTGTAATGCATACCTAGTAATTATCCATACAGCCTATTACAGTAAACACTGCTATTAAATACGTTATTGTTGGCTAAAGACACAGCAGCTATCTTAGACACTTGCTGAGAAATACACTTTTCCCTGCTGCTATCACTAACCATTTACTGTTGCACTAGTGCTTGCTTGTTTTTAATTTTTGTTTTAATTCATTTGCTTTTCTTTTTTCTTGTGTTCATTGTAATCATGACCTCTTGCTGTTTTAATTTCAGATTTGCATATCCACTTCCACTCCTTCCTCATTTGCATACAGCAAGAATGGCGAGCGGGCATCCCACAGACAAATTCAGTTTCATGTATCAACCAGACACGCACAAGAGGTACGGGGCACACATGCACACTCACTCACTCACTCACTCACTCACACACTCACCCACTCACTCAGACACACGTTCGCACAAACACTTTACATGCCCGAGTTCCTGGTGGCCAGGTAAGTTGATTTTAATGGAGGTGCACTTTAGGGTTTTATTTATTTATTTGTTCATCTTCTCCGTGGAGAAAGATGACTTGCCGGATGTGAAGTGATAGAACGGCTCTGTTTTTACGCACATTCACCATAGCATAGTCATTATTGGCTACTCTGTTCTTCAGCCTTTCCGTAGTGTTGCTGTGGCTGATAATCTTGTTGTAATAAAAGAAAAGTAAAATCTTAGACAAATTTGGTGACTGCATTTAATGCCACACGAGGTCTTTCAAGAGATCCAGGCCTTCTTGTGCTTTCCTGTCAGTACGTGTGTTTGATGTTCCTCTGACAGTTTGTTTTTCACTGCGTATACATTTGAGGTTTGATTGTTTATAGTCATGCTTGCAAATCCTTCAGATAAATGACTTCTTGGCAATCTGAGGGATTAATGTGATGTGTTTGTTTCAAAATCTTAACCATTTTCTTTCCACTTGACATTGATTATATTCCTTGCCCCTCAATTTTTTCTCTTTTTTTCTCCCTTCATCCTTCTCACCCTTTTCTTAGTAAAACCAGGTTATCTTCAGCCATGAATCCAGTCTACAGCCCTGTTCAGCCTGGTACCCCATATGGAAACCCCAAGAACATGGCCTTTACCGGTAAGATACTCACGCACTTTTATCATGAACATGTTTCTAAAACTTATACTAATGGATAAAAGTCTGAGTGTACTTAAAGAAGCATTATGGAAGTTTTACAGCCAAAACATGTATAGAAATAATAAATTTCTATTTCATACATTCTCCTGCAATGCCCTGGTCCTGTAGAATGAACCCTGGCATTTTTCTATGATTGCCTGTTTTTCTGTAAAATCACAGAAAAACAGAGCTGCTCGGGTCGAGCAGGCTGCTTCATGCGCGTTCACGCTCCGGCATAGCCCGTAGCATTTGCTATCCGCAGCTTTAGTCTTTGTCGCTGTTCCTAATGCCTAGTGACAAAGCTAGCTACATTTCTGAGGACCCTTAGCTACTTTCTGTAGAACTTTCTTTTAGATATTTCCTGCAAATTAACAACAAAATAGCCATTTTCGCTCCGAACTGTTCTTTGAACATTGTTTCAACTGTCATCAAGGATATAAATGGTACAGATACAAAGTACGGCACTGGCGCTTTAGCTCACCTAGTAAGACGTCTGTCTCTTGTGCTTAAGACCCGGGTTCGAGGGTGGATGTCAACATAGTTCAGTTAGAGTTTCTTTTTTACATTAATGGTATATTTTTTTACAGTAAGATGCCCAAATTTTTATTTGAGACTCGCCGAACGGCATTGAATTCACAGATAAAAAAGATGTGGGTTCAACTTTCATTTTGGAACAATTTTTCAAGCAAGGGAAGGGAATGATCTGAGCATGCAGGAGGACCGACCCATCGTAAACCTTTGTCGGCTGTGCTGAAGAGAAAGGTACAGAACCAAATTATTTAATTAATTAGCTGCGTGTTCTCCTGTCTTCTGTCCTCCGGGCCACACACACACACACACAAGGGACTGTCTCAGCTGTTGTTTTCGTTAAGGAGTGTGCACGTACAGCATGCGTGCCTCGTGCACGAGCCTACTATTGAAGCTGTCGTTACGCTTTTGGCTTGAGGGGGCAATCGCGAGCATAAAAATTCAAAACTCCGTAAAGTCCCGTTAAATATTTTAGTACTGCAGTGAGGTTACCACCAATGCATTTTGTGTTAACCATAGACAACATCCATGACTCTTACATGCTTAATTCTCATAAGGCTTTATTCAAAAAGCAAAATAACTACTGAACAAAACTTGCTATGACTGTAATACTTAAAATGTGTTCACTGGATAGAGAAAGTTAGACAAAAGAAGGCAGGAAATCATAATGTAATGTGTAATAATGATGTTTTATTGTGTTATTTTATCTTTACCTGAGCTTTCCAACAGACACATAAGCATCACCTAATGTCCACGAAGTGCAGTACGCAGCAATTAGCTGCTGCTGTTATGGTGGATGGGTGTGTTTCCACCGACCGCAAAGCATCGCGTTTTGGACATGTCCCAGAAGTATAGAGTTGCATCGTTTTGCAACGTTTATGCTTCGGGTCTATTTTATATGCTACGCTACCAGAAGGCATCAAGGTCAGCAACTCAGACTCAGACATCATATATATGTAGACGCCCCGTGGACTGGTGCTACTTTTTGGAGCTGCCATAGTGGCCGGCTGCCATCTTGGATGGCTCTCCATTCGCCCCCACCGCATTCGTTTCTTCTGAGGAAGGTACTTACCCAAATAAAAACGTGTTTTGTCAAGTTTTTTCACAAAATCAGACACAAGGTTGGGCATGATAATTAAAATATAAGTTAGGGCGGCAACAAACGATTATTTGGATAATCGATGAATCGGATGGGGTCTCGACACGATTAATCGATTAATCGGATTACATGGGGACATTTTTTAAAAACTGCTAGGGAAATGTTATTTCTCTCCTTCCTTCACTTTATTAAACACAACATTATTAGAAAACAGTTCAATAGCAGAAAAACAACATGCCATCACCTAAATTGTCTTATAAGGTGTATAGACAGAGACCCTAAGCTACTGTGACCTAAAATGCTTGGTCCAAGTTAAATAGCTTAAAGAGCAAGTCAACCCCTACCAGAGTCTAACTCCACTCCCACTTCATGTTTGAAAAATGCAACACGTGCTGTTGCCTGGCAGACCGAGAGGGCGGAGCCGCTAACAAATACACACACACTCAGGCTCACGACAGCATTGTGACATCATAATGTACCAGTTTACATCATAGCATACTTCTTAGCCAATAGCGGTGGCAGATTTAAATTAAAATACAGTGCAGAGTTTTTACCTGACAACGGCACAACACTGCCAGTTTTAGGCAGAATATTTAAATTTTAACTAAGATGCACTGAAGTGCCAAATTTTTGACGACACGTGTCTGCAGCACGATTAGACACTTGTTTATTTAGTTTATCAGCAAAAAAAAAGTTTATTTGGGGGTGACTTGCTCTTTAAGGACAATTCTCATCTGTTTTGTTTGATCTCATCTGTAGACATTTATTATAATTGGGGATGTCAAACAACTAATTTTTAAATGTAATTAAACATAGGCTGTGAATTAATCAAAATTAATCACTATTTCCAAAAATGACTGAAAAAAATACCAAATAAAACAAAAGTAAATGAATGCCATCCTCCTTGCGATGATGCCCTGGGCAACTGCCATAAAGTCACATCAAGAAATGCTGCTGATCATTAGGCCACATGAATGCAACTGAACCCAAAAATATATTAACCAGTATACATATACAGTATAACTGCACTCTCACACAACACGCCTGCAGCAACAGTTAGGACTCCTCCCTCCCTTTTAAAAGCGTTTTCGCTTCCGAGGTCATTGTGGTTGTAAAACCACACGCTAGTAGTCTGGCCCCGGTGTGATCAACCACTTTCTGCGGGAATGTGACGGCGGAACCGGTTCGCAGCAGCTCGACTCGTCGTCCCCCCCCCCCCCCCCCCCCATCTAATAGCGTCGCGCTTACGATTTTATAGACTTTTTTTTACGAGCTTAGGGCATGTCTAGCCTGTGTAATAATCCAGGGCTTGGGTGAATCACTTTTGAAAAGTTTTTAACTTAACCAGACACAGAGCTCTCTCCCTCCTCGCTGATGATTTCGACATGCTTGCGTTTAAGATGCTGCATCATCACTGTAGTACTCCCGTGCCATGCTAATTCTGACCTACAAACGTTGCAGGTAACGAATGTCTTCGCCTGATTTAACTGAAAATGCTCCCAAACTTTAGAAGTTTTTACTTTTTCGGGTCTCGCTGCTTTTGCCATGTTCCCATTCCAAACACCTGCCGGCTCTCCCTCGCGCCGATCTGACTTGCTCTGGTCTGTGCGCAACGCCGGGGGGGGGGCACGGCTGGGGGCTTTTGGAAGAGTTGTGCAACACAACGAATCGATGACGCAATTCGTTGCCAACGCTTTTAGTAATAGATTTTCATCGAATTTATCGATTCGTTGTTGCAGCCCTAATATAAATGTAATTAAACTAAATAAATTTTAATATAAAATCCCATCAGGTAGGCTAGAAAGGTCAGTAGTAATCCCACATGATCTGTTTTTAGATGTACGCCGGTTGTTGCAACCATAGGCTGCACAAAACAGACTGTTGCTCACTCTGCATTGACTAGAGAGTGAGGAGACCCATCCAGTATGGCGGTGACCCTGTTACGCTCTCCAACGCCCAATAGGGTGTCTACGTATTAATGTCTATGAATTAAGACTGGAACAGACAGCTAATTCTAAATGTAAAGATTGTCTGCGTAAACCTGAACAGGTCCAACCCAGTCTGACTGTGAGACCGGGTTGACGCGTCACGCTTGTGCGTAATCATATAGGTGCATTCTGAGCTGAAGAGGATGTGAGATTCTGGGATTCTCCTCAGACAGGCTCAGGGATGCGACGCCACATTGGAGACAGGAACAAGCACAATTCAGCCAAAGTTTCATAATCAGGGAACATTTTCTAAGTGACAAGTCTCTCTGAGAGACAGGGTTTGGAAAACGCTCGCTTCAGTCGGAGGAATCTTCCTGCATGCGCTCTGGTTCTGCGACGCGCTCCAAGCCCCTCTCCACATCTTCAGCTCGCTGTGCACCGTACGTATGTGCTGACAGTGAGCTGCGCTGAGCAGTGTCCAGCTTAGCTATGCGATGTGCGTAACGAATAAAATGTCAGTTTGTCTGCATACGTCGGGGTAATTCTTTCTATTCTTTCTCCGTCAAAATAAACGGCCAATTACGGGAACTGTCCGGTCAACACAACACAAGCCCTGCTTTTAACTGTTCTGTTTTCTTGTGAAAATTGTTGCAAAGAGATATAATTTAACTTGATTAACACCAGAGCCATATCTCCGTCACTGTAAATGAGGGAAAAACAAATTGATCGGATCCTTTTCTGACCTTCCCCACCTACAAAGTTTAATTACAACAATCAAACGTGACAGAGCCTGGATTTGTATCCTGAACAGTCTAAACATGTTTTAAAAAGAAACGTATGACAAAAGTGGCATCTGCTCAGTAAAACCACCAACAGGGCGAAAAATATCAAAATATTGTAGGCAGACGGGCTACAACTTCTGGATCCATTTTATATAAATCGTTTTATTGATTATCGTCTTATGAAAGATAACTTTGACGTACACGAGCGACCGGTACTGGCTGCTGTCACCTGTTGTGATTGGTTAAAGCAGCTCTCTGCTGTCTGAGGGTAGGCCCCGCCCACAACACCGCGGCTGCTGTGGCTTCCAGTGTTTTTTTTACTGTGGGAAATGGGTAATAATGGCTCTTTAATGGGAACAGGTTGCCGACCCCTGGCTTAACTAATCAAAAAAATTGTGATTATTTGTGACACCTCAGTAGCTGAATTTAAATAACAGAAAACAACCACAAACCTTTGGATAAATGCTGCCATCTTTCTCCTTGCTTGTTATCATGTGAAATACTGAAATCACATGTGGTCTTGCAATTCTCTGGTGATGTGATCTCACAAGATCAGCTGTGTGGAATGCCATTGTTGCGGGGTGCTGGAACAGAGACTCGGGCAGGGTAGAGGGCTCTGATGGG